ATGACAATATACACTATCTCAAAGCCCTTCACACGGTAAAGTCAGGACAAACATTATGGAGGACGTCCTCTAACAGAGCCAGACAAATGACTTTAATGGCTACACTACACTTACAACAGCAAGTTTTAAAATTTAGTTTTGTATACTCTGATTAAACGATAAAGTCTGTGCAAAGAAAGAATATTTCTGGTCCATTAGTCCATTAATCCGTCAACAGAGCTCTCTTTACTTACAAGATTAAAGGCTCCCACTCCCAGTTTAACACCACCCTCAAAATGGCCGTGGTTGTCACCATGAGTGTATCCAGCGGACTGGAGGACTGTGTGAAGCTCTCTGTAAGGTGGAGGTGAAGAGAGGGACAAAAATATTCAGCGAGGTTGACGGAGATAGAAAATCAAACATGTAAAGAGCTGTCATTAGAAAGTGGGAATAAACATTGTGGAGTTTAGTTTCTCACTTGTATGTCTGGTAGCTGTTCCTCACTTTGATTCCTCCTTTAATGAAACTGATCATATTTTCATCCTGTACAAAAAGGGGGAGTGAGTTTCAGTAACACAGACATTTATCAATGGTGGCTGTTTTCAGTGCGTTGGTGGTTGGTCTGTGTCGAGAACTTTTTCCTGACCTGTAGGAAAGTGAGTGCTGCCCTCTGTAGGAGACACTCGGCGTAGCACACTTCAGCATGGAGTTCCTCTGAGGTGAAAATGATCAGTTATCATCAGCCTGAATTTAAAGCACTGAACATAATGACTGATTGCAACAGATTTGCTGTACTGACCTTCCGTAAAGGATTTGGAGAAGCTCGACTTCTTGCGGTGGCTGAAAGTACAAAACACAAAACCATCAGCAGTGACGCACTGCTCCACACTTTGCTTATCTCGTTTCCTATGCACATCAGTGACTCAGCCTCTTTCCAGTGAGCACAGGAGGCTGAGCTGCTGTAGGATGAAATTCCCATAAGGTGCAGAGTCTGCTGACTGTGCATTAACAGTCACAACATTAAAAATAAACCTGCAGAGAAAGACTTGAGGGCAGGTTTATCACGTCGAGCTAATTAGATCTTCTGTTTGTCCAGACTCTCACAGTGACACAATGACAAACTGTGACAGGCAGGTGTGACATTCTGTTGGTCAGCATCTGTGACTCTTCTGTGCTTTCGTCTGTTTGCTGTGTTTTAGGGGTTTTTGCATTATCCGTCCCTGATTGTATTTATGTATGAACCTTTTCTTATTTTATTTCCTGCTCATCTTGACTGGCAGAAGAGATGTTGCATCTCAATGGGAACTTCCTAGTTGTAAATGGTTTGATGTCACTAATGCATGTTCAAAAGATAAAGCAGATAGTTCTTCATTCTTAAACTAGCTCGTCTACAGCTTTTACAAGAGAAACCTCTCTTCTGCAGCTAGTGGAGGAACTGATACTGAGATAAACCGTTTGTTTGTCTGGACATTATTTCACTGTGGTGCTGAAGGGAAGTCTCACCGCTGACAAAGAGCCTGGGCCTCCTTCATGGTGTTTCCTGCTGTCAGGATGTGTTGGGGGTCAAAGGTCATCATGGCCTGCATCTCTAGGATGGTGGCGTAGGTCAGAGCGTGGTACATGCTGTCTTTGGTTCTGTGACAAATGACAAAGCACAATATTTATATATCTATTTTTCAGTAAATGAAACAGGGTGTGATAGATTTTAGATGACAACCTGATTCAGAAAGATGCTGTCTTGCTGTTGTGATGAGAGAAATGATGATGGCGGGAGAATAATCTTTGCTTAAACAAAGAGGCCTTTATAATATTTTTCTATTTTCTATTGTTTCCTATTTTTCTATTTTCCTATTTATGATTGCACAAAAAGCTAACTGAAATAAAACCCAATACTGATTCTGAGTCATTTAACCAAGCACTACTGTGAAAGGAACAACATGATCATAAAGTGGAGTAGACGCAAACCACACATTAAAAATAAATTGGTGCTGAACCAAAGATAATGTTGAGAAATAAGCATAAAAGCAGAGTCTGTGTTATTGTTATATTAAAGAAGATATACAGCAGGCACAGTTCATGATGTTGTAGACCATTCCATTAGGGATTAGGCTGCTCTCAGCAAGTACTTTTACTTATTATATTTTAAGTATTTAAAAGAAAAGTTTCTACTGACTTGTACTCACTTGTCTATTTATTTGTACTTTTACATAAGTATTTTGAGTATTCCCTGACGAAAACATGAAAAGTTGTATTTTCTGATTATCAACTCTTACTAATGACAGCAGTGCGATTAAATACTCAGAAAACTAAAGCCACACCACTGCAGAGAAAATAGTTTAGGCCTATATATACCTGTGGTTGTTATGTGTGTCCTGTCACACCTACCTGCTCAACAAGAACCGGGTTTAAAGTGATTGAGTAAAAGTGTGTTTGATGTCACGCGCATTTTTCCAGTAGTTGTACTTGTTGTTCCAGTAAGAGAAGCCTGTCGCCACAGTTCTAAACCATTATGAGAACTAATTACTTAATTAACATTATGTTCGAATAATATGCTCGAAAACAACAAAAACATTTGGCAATAATGTACAGTGGCCAATAAAAACTCTCTTGTGGTGGTAAAAGCAGATTTGTATGTTTTGTCTTGACCTGTTTATTGTAAACATACTGTCCAGTACATGAGAATAATTTTAGCATGAACATAAAGGTGGAGGTGTGTGGAGAGGAATGTCGTTTGTTAGCATAGCTGACAATTGTTTGTTGTTCACCACACACTGACTCACACATGTGACCAGCTCTCTCACACAAACCATTCTACACCCAACAGACGAAGCACAAAGAATCTAAATCATGATTAACTATATTGTTATTATAAAAGATTTTTATATTTAATATGTACATTATAGAGAAAAGGAAGCAGAACGTGATATTACCCACTTGACTTTTAGACAAATAAGAACCAAATGAACTCGGTGTGGATTCATTTTTGTTGATTTCACAGAGTATAATTTATGGATCTTGGTGACAGAAATCAGGTAGTTTGGTTCTAGTGAATTAAAACATGGTTTCATAAGGAGACTGTTGGTCCTTGGCGGAGGTATGGATCTAATAGATAGATAGAGAGATAGATAGATAGATAGATAGATAGATAGATGACTTTATTAATCCCACCTTGGGGGAAATGAAGTGCCATTCGTATTCATTCTAATGCAGTGACAGGCTGGTTGACAAGATTCACTTCAGTACCAACCTCTTTATATACAGTCTATGGTACCAACCAGGAAGCAACAGGCGACAGTGAGAGAACAGCTCTGCCTGCTGCGTCAGGCTTATTCACTGTGACGATGGAGCTGTGAGGTGAATTGAAACGCTCGTAGCTTTGCTTAACTTAGTTGGGAATTTCGAATATTTCACAGCAGATATCATAGATTGGTTAGTCAGCATTATCTGAGGGCTCAGAGATACAACGGCCTTGGTCCTTGTGAAGACACGTCTCCCACATGCTTTCCGCACAACGATATGAAGAAGAACTGTGTTGTGTTTTCCCATACACGTGTCTGTGCAGGAATGCCTTGTATTCAGTTCTGCACTTGTTAGTAACAATAAGGATGTGCAGGAACAACACACCCAACAGATTACTTCTTTCTAAATAAAAATAAAAACAATTCTTGCAGTTTTGATTGTAATAAAGGACAGAATCAAAGTCAAAGAAGCAACTACATTTTGAAATTAGATGAAAAATAGAACCTTTGAGTGTTAGCCTATCATGTCACATTATTTAGCCAAAAATCTGCTCAGTTCCTGTATCGTACGTCACACAACTATTTATCTAGCAGACACCTCCTGTGCCCACTCCCTGCTGCAGCTGTGTGTAATATATCCAGAAAGCGTGATGGGAGAATGAGATTGCACCATCTTGGCTGCACATTGTCTGGTGGCATGTTTAAACAGAGAGCTGGCAAATAAAACTAAGCTGGCTGTTGGATACCTCTGTGATTTGAGAGAAAAAGAAACACCTAAAACCACTGGTTACTTAGCAGACATGTTTCTACAATGTTGAAGAGGAGGAGAAACTCAATAATATGAATCCTATAATACAGCAGAAGTTTAAAGAGACAGTTCAGGTAATAGATTTATCTATCGCTGGATGAACGCACACTATCTCTGCCATCGGAACCTCTGGTCAGAAATATCAAAGTGAGCCGGCAGCTTGTAAAACAGAAATGAAGCACGACAAGGCCGATTGAAAATATACATTTTAAACTGATACACATCCCTCAAAGAATTGCATCATCCCTACAAGAGAGTACAGCACCCTTGGTGTATTTCCAGTGCTAAATTGTTGGCAGACGCTGGCATGCTGTATTCCCTGAATGCACCGCTGCCCCTCAGCTTCTCCTGCTTTATCAGTAACCTGATAATGTTACAAGGTTCTGAAAGTGAAAGTGTTAACTCAGTGGAAAACTTGAACGATGTTCCCAGCCCCACACCTCCTGTGTGAAAAATGTACTTTGCATGTCCATTCCAGCAATCACACATGACCGCTGCTCAGGTGGGGTTAGATTAATGTGAGAGCATTAACCCTGCAATAGCTGACCCTGTCGTCAAGTGCATGCTGGGATATGCACCAGTTGTCTTTGACATAAATAGGAAACAGAGAGCATAAGACATTATACATTATCCAGTGTGTGTGTGTGTTTTCCAGGTATTACTCATGACGTGTGACCTACACAGTCACATTATGGGGACTTATGGAGACAAAAAGCAGGTCCACATGTGTGTGTGTGTGTGTGTGTGTCTGTGTGTGTGTGTGTGTGTGTGTGTGTGTGTGTGTGTGCTTCACCTGATTACATCAGCACACAGTTTTTAAAAGGGGAAAAATTAAACTTGAAGATGGAGAAGAGTGGAAATCACTCATGGACTAAATCAGAGGACGAATAAAGACTTGAGGGGGAGAGGTATATTTCTACTTTTTGCTCTGACCTACTTGTTGACTACAAGACATTTCTTTCAGTTTCTCTCTCTCTCCATGCAGCAGATACAAACACATCTTACCCAATAAAACAGAGTGAAGTTGATGCTCCAGGTCATCAGCTTCCTCACAAAACACTTTTGTGAGCTGCAAAGTGTGAGCAGAGGAGGGTTGAGGCTGCTACAGGGTTTTGTGCAAACCACACAAAAAAGAGCCACATCTTAATTTGATAAAAGTGTATTCAAATGTAAAACACTAAAACGCATCCTTACTGTTGATTAAGTTCTTTTGTTAAAATAGGTAAAGGCCGGGGGTAAGGACACAAGAATTGTAAAACAAATTGCATTGTTTATAATTTCTTGAACTCACAACATGTGTTCACACCTAAATAAGACATCTGTTAGATCTCCTAAGGAAGCTGTAACTCCTCTCTGATGGAACAAGACTAAACTTTGGGTGAAGAGGGTGCTGAGTGCCCGAAAACGTCCATAGACACAGTCACAGTCATTTGAACCACTGGTTTTCTGACAGAGTTTAAACCAGGATGAAATATTCCGCAAATCTCAGCTTTAAATACTGAGGCACATCATGTTTAGGATAGTCACCTGGCAACAGGGGGACGGCTACGGCTGAGGGGTAGAGTGGTTTTCCTCCAACCAGAAGGTTGGCAGCTCGAATACCAGCCCATGCAGAAGTGTCCTTGAGCAAGGTGCTAAACCCCTCAGGTAAATGACATGTAATGCAATGTAACAGAGTATTTATGTAATGTTACAATGAAACATTGTTTTGTTGAAACTAAGCTTGAAGCTAGAATGTTATTCAAATACGGCAAACACTAACACTTCTGAAGTGACGTAGAATAATAAAAAGAGAGGTACAGCCTGAGAGGAAGCTTGTTTTCTGTCTCTGAAAAGAACAAAGTGGGGTTAAGGAGTGGCCCAGAGAGAAGAGACACAGAGTGAGGATCATGATAACAATGGTGTGATAAAGACTCTGACAATGGACGAGACAAAGGAGGGACTTGAAGACAGAGTTGGAATAAAAAACTACAATGGTGTGGACTGGAGAGGCTGTGGAGTGAGATGAATCCACAATCCTGAGGATAGATTTTATCACAGCAGCACAACTATTCCGTCCCATTTCAAAGTTTCTTCCAAATGCGTCCTGTCGTCCCCTACTAGAGAAGGCTCCCACAAATGGATCTCGGCCCAAGAAATCCCAGGATTCCTTGCGCTTCGGTGACAAACTGTTTTTCAGTGAGAGTATGTAACATTGAGGCGAAAACGTCCGATCCTCACACTTTTCGATGTAAGTATTTGGCTTGAACTGACTGACCAGCTAATGTTAAAAACCTAGGGTAGTTTAGTAAAGTTAGTAAGTTTAGCATGGTCGCTATGATAACATTAAACCATGACTGTGGCGCTGCAGTAAAGCCATGGCGGTGAGGTAGTTAGACATTAACAACAATACCAGGGCTGTGGAAGTGATGCAGCTGAATGCAATACAGCCTGTGTGTTTGTGTGTGTGTGTGTGTGTGTGTGTGTNGTGTGTGTGTGTGTGTGTGTGTGTGTGTGAATGCAGCCTCTGGCAAAGCATGAATAAAGGCAGTTTGTCTCCCATCCATTGTGTTTGTGCATAGAGGCACAGATCAGAGCTCCCCCACAGGTAAGACATGGCAGCTACAGTGCATTAGAGCAGAGAGTTCAGGTTATGGTTCTTTACCTGCATCTGAGCCGGGTCTGCGCCTCCTCGAACTCGTTTCTGAGAAACAGGTCCAAGGCGGCCATACAGTCCTCCAGAGCCAGGGACAGGTCTGACCTCGAGCGCCTGCAGAACCAAAACAAACAGGACATGGATGAGGAGGATGGAACCTGGCGAGGTGTTGACAGATTAGTCTAATGAGCATCTCTGATCTTATACATTTTGATGCATCTGTCTTATCACCTCCACCAAGGGGGTTATGCTTTCATCTGCGTTTGCTTGTAATTTTGTGGCTGAGTAGAGCATGACCCAAGGAAGAACCTGATAACTATTTGCTGCAGTTCCAGAGTAGGATGTAGCTGCCAGAACATTTTGAGATTGGGTGTCTTTCAACATTTTCATTGATTTCTCAGAGAGTAATTCATCTAGGGAAAAATCCAGATCTAGGGAATTTAAATGTGGTTTCATAAGGGGACTGTTGGGCCTTGGTGCTCCACTCAGTGTCATTATAGTTATAATCAATGAAGAGATGATACATTAATAGATTAGAAAAACAAACATCCCTTTAGTGTGAAAACACTCAGAACTAGCAACCAAATCTCTTCATTCTGCTCTACTCTGTTTCTACTGCAGTGACCCTGTTCTCATTGGCAGCCTCCAAACACTGACCTACAACAGAGGGATGGAATCTTCATATCCACCTCACTTAATGTATTCATCCTTTATTAAATCCTCGGCTGCCACTTCACAGGAGAGGCACATGCAGGGTAGGTCAGACTCTGTTCATAGTGTTTGGCTCACAGTGTTGCATCACTCTACATGTTACAGGAGTTTTCAGCATCATTTTCTGTACTTACACTTCTCTTAAAACACATTTATTAAAAGGTAAGGATCAGATGCTGTTGCTGCCACTAATAATGTGCACTGTCTTTATGTAAGCTCCTGATAATGTAGCAGCAGTATTCTGACGTCATTCCACAGTGCACAGGACCCTCACGTGACAAAGTGTATAGTGTGGCCAAACTGAGCACAAGACATGACTTAGAATCATGCACAGTTCCCCCGTCACAAGGCTCCATGGTCCTGCTAATGCACTCCTACTAACGATGGGTCGTAATGTGTTGTTTTTATTCTTCGTTTCAGGCAAATACCAGAAGATGAATGAAAAACACTCTGAATGAATGTGTAAATGGTTCAATCTGAGTCGCTGACTGCTGACAGCAGTGCCAGACTAATGTCCTTCAGCATCAAGATGACTAATTTCATTGATATGAAAAATTACTTGTCTGTGATGTAATAAAACTACATTTTTATACATTCATTCTTTGCCATTTATGTTATTAATTAAATGCAATGATAGCATGATTGGTGTATCTTCTGTGTTGTTGTTCATTAGATCTTTGGTTTCATCCTGAAATCCAGTTTAGTTTTCCAGGGCACAAGCATGACTACTGTTAACTATACGATGCCGGCTGCACACATCAGATTATTAATCAGGAATATGAGCGAAAACATCTCCAGCTAATGTTTGTAACAGCAGTGACTAAAGGATATTATTGACATTAACTTCCTGCCCTTCAGAAACACATAGAAAATATAAAATCACATAAGCCACCAGCACGGCTGCCAACATAAATGAGCACACACTCGCTGCTGCAGCTCTGCTTAATGACATGCAGGTGACTGTGCTGTGTTCCCATATGACTGGCAGCAAGATGAGCTTCCTGATAACAGCACACCAACGATCTGTCAGAACAACATGTATGCTCGGTGTACGTTTGTCTTTAGCCAAACATAAAGTGTACTGATCGTTCGCCTCCAATAAATTAACAATCATCTGTGGTTATAAACTGAATTCACTAGAGCTGTTTTATAATTGGGAGCCTCGGACAATAAAACAGGATCAATAATATGACCTATAACAATGGCAGGAGGACATAAAGGTAACACAGAGTACATGTTTACATGATTGATTTTAAGGATAATGCTATAGAGTTACACGTCTTCCCCCAGTGGCTACTGACGAAATCCAACCACAGCTTCCTCTGTTTCCTTTCTGTGAAACTGCAGCCATGGCCACGATAAGCTCAAATAACAAGCTTATTAAGAAAAGACAAAAAGCCATGTATGTTTGGTCTTTGGATACTCAAACCTTATTCTCTGACCCAGACCACATCCTAAGTTTCATGATAATCCTTCCATTGGTATCAATGGACAAACAAACAAACAAACTAACTAACTAACTAACAAACAACTAGAAAGGCACTGGGAGAGCCCATACCTCCAGGCTCACACCCTATAACGCCATGTTACAGTCAGTGAAAAAGAAAATCCTGGATCAAAATTATAATGAGGTCTTCCTCACATGCTCCTCCCCTCCACAAGATTCCATTGAAATTGGTCAGTTTTTGAGCAATCATGCTTCCAAACTAACAAAGCCTCCTTGGTGGAAGTAAAAACAAATGTCCAACCTTGACTCTAACTCTTATCATTACTGTAACCACAACCTTACGACCAACCAAGTCTTGACCTCACACATTTTCCTTTTCAGTCCTATTTAAAAGATCATTGCTGCTGGAGTCTAATCACTTGTTACATTGAGCGAACAAGAACAACCTAATAAATAATAAATGCCTCTAACCTTCTCTAATGATATTGTTTTGGAGCTCATCCAACAAAGACCAGCAGGAACGTGTGTATATTAGCTAAAATAATATCTGAGATGGTGTTTAAATGATCTATACTCCAAAGGGAGCAATAATCAGACAGGTGAAATATTAGTAGTACAGTATGCTGACGTGGCCTTTCTTTTAGCTGACAACCAACTCAACTGGTCCTATCAAAAGGTTGTCTTGGTTTACACCTTCAAGACAATCTAAGGCCTGAAGACTGGGGACATTGTCCTTTGCATCCAGGCAATAATTGTCAATAGTATGGAAGAGAGACAAGGCACGACGACCAGGACAATCAGGAGAGTCTGTGAGGTTTCCGACTGCATGCCAGTCATTGTCCCAATAAAATAATTTAATTTTCCATCAGCGAGTCTGAAATCCTGGGTTTATTTCTCCAGAGAGCGAATCACACAGGGACAATCATTGTCAGGCAAATGCACATGAGCACACACACAGATAAAACCACTTAGCACACAAGCACTATTCATAAACACACCCCTGCATGTGCTCATTACAAATTACCAACGTGCAAGCACAGCACACACACACATGGAGAGAGAGAGAGTGTGTGTTCCAGAGTGACGAAGCATTAGTTGATCAACTCTGTTATTATTATAGACCAAGCAAGTTCGTCCACATGCCTGAGCTGCACACACACACACACACATACACAAAGAGAGACACAGACGCACACAGACTCACACACACACACACACACACATAGGCACACACTCCCTTTACATCATTAGAACTGGACCGAAACAGAGGATCTTAGAGAGGGTGACAAACACGTCATCCCAAAACGCAGCAGTAACAAAGTGTCTTACCCGTTCGACAGAGTCTCGTCCTCTTCTGACATTTTCATCTGGCAAAGTGTGTGTTTGTCTGTGTGTGTTTGTGTCTGTGTGTGTGAGTAAAAAAAAAATGTAAAACTGAATGTGAGCGCAGGGCCTTCGCAGCAGAGAGGTGTAACGGTCTGTGTCTCTCTCTGTGGCAGCAGCAACAAGAGCAGAAAGCAGCGGCAGGAAGACAGGCGTGTGAGAGAGAGAGAGGAGGAGAGAAAGAAGAAAGAGTGAGAGACTGGACAGAATGAAGGAGAGAAAGCGAGAGAGGGAGGAGGAGGAGGAGGGGGAGGAGGAGAAGAAGGAAGGGCACAGTAGCAAAAGCAGCCCTTAATAAGAGTGGGATGACTATCACACATGAGGAGAGAATACACAGGCTATCTGTGCTGCAGTTAACACACACACACACACACACACACACACACACACACACACACACACACACAAAACTACCTCTTCCGATCATCACCCTCATGCTACACACACTGCAGCCTCTCCTCTCATTGGTTCATGCTAAATCTGAGGAGGGGCTGCATGTCCACGAAAAACTACCCAAAAAGGGAGAAAGGGAAAAATGAAAGATATGTAACTTGATAATTACGAGACCGTCCTTCGTCTCCGACATAAGGACCATCATGCTCTTCTCTTCTGCTGAAGGTGAAACACTGAGCAAGCAGATGGAGAGGAAAGAGAGAGAGAGCTGTTGTGCGGTGGGGACCTCAGGCGGTCCGGTCTGCTGCAGTGGCAGAGACAGAGCCCTGCAGTGAGCAGAGGTAGAAGAAATAGATGCAGCACTGCACAAACTGAGCACAACCTGACCTGATATATAAGCATGAATGAAATATGAAGTCAGAGCCAGTTTGGTGTTTGACTGTCATACACAGCAGCTCAACACTCAGTCACCCCTCTCTCTGCTCTCTCTCTGTGTGTGTGTGTGTGTGTGTGTGTGTGTGTGTGTTCACAGCACATACACTTGAAATCCTTGGTATGAAAATTTCAACTAGGGATGAACTACACTCTGATGTGTCAACACCGAGAACAAACATGTTAATTTGAATGCTAAATCCTGTTGTGAGTCCTGTTGTGTATCATGAATGTGTTTCATCTTGTAACTTCATTAGGGCCAAAGCAGATGACCGTTTTCTTGATTAAATGTACATTATGTAACTTCAACTGCTCTGTGCTACTTCAAACAATAACAGAAGATCTGGTTTGATGATGTTGTGACGCAGCGTGGGATCATGGGAGTTGCTGTCTTCGACACCATTCTCTTAGCCGACAATCTACCTGACGTGACTCAGGTGCAATGTTCACGGATTAGGTCATGAGTTAAAGTTTTATTCACGTTATGCACAAGCGGTAAAGAATAATCGTGATCCTTTACCAGTGACCAGTACAAACAGTGGAAGGTAAAAACTAACTGTGTTTTTCCTTCGTCATACGTCTTTTGCCCTGGAAGTTATAGCAAAGACTTTCCTTAACTTTGCAAGACGTTTTTTTAACATTTCATTGATTCTGATTTCAATTTCTAAACAAATAATGTAGATTTCATTGTGAAAGGACTGATGTGTTTCTGCAAGTTGGTGCAGCTTCTAACGAGTGCCATTCTGGTGAATATAATGCCCTTAATCAGCAAAACTGAATGACTTACCCCTTAATCAAGTCTTTACCTGAAAAAAAACCCTCTAAATATGTCTTCATTTTTTTTGTCACTCATTGACATAATTCCCTAGCCCCTCACCCTAACCTTAACCATCACAACTAAAGGCCTTACCCTTACCCTAACCTAACCCTAACCTTAACCATCACAACTAAAGGCCTTACCTAACCTAAACCTAACTCTAACCCTAACTCTAAATAAGTCTCAAACAAACCCTTGAAATTGCGAGGACCAGCCAAAATGTTCTAACAATGATGGTATTGAACCAAAAATGGCCTCATAACTATAGATAGACATGCTCATGCACACACACACACTCGATTAGTAACACTGCTAGCTTCAGGAAGCATAAAGCTCACACTCATGTGACTGTGTCTAAGTGCTTCTCTAGTCTTTTTCTCCCCCATGCTATTCCATAAACACACATTTGCAACTGCAGGAACTTGAGGGAAAATCCGTCTGTTTCTACACTGGACTCTAAAGATGTTTAAAAACATCTATTGTTGCCTCCATCTCTCATGTGCGCTGTAACGAGCACCATCATGGGTTTCAGGTGGAGATAACTTGATTTAATATGTAGGCAGAGAATTTGATTAGGCAACCAAAAAGGGATTTTACAATCATCTATAATTCTGACGTTGGCTTTTTCTTTTAACCCAATCTAATAATATGTAAATCTCTAAAGCTTTCATCTAGAGCGAAACCCCTCAGCAGTGCCCTCAGTTCCCACTCCGGTACAATAACATGTTCAGTATGTAGTGTGTGACAAATTAAATAAGTTCAAATACTGAAACGTCTAAAATGAAATACATCGAGGATTTGTAGTTGTGAAGTACAGATGCTAGAGTTACAGTAGCAACTTTAACCTCTATTTAGTTTTTCCCTGCCTCAGATCTGAACAGACACATCTAGAGCAGAGTGCGATCAATATACATTTTACTAATATTAATAATAGGAAATGTAAAGATTCTGTCACCAATATATATATATATGCCGAAATAAATATTGAACTTGAATTGATTCAATATAAACGCACATCTTTTCTTTTATTCTGTAGAAATAAAAGTTGTCATATGAGCAAACATCAACAATGTGAAAGGCTCACATCGGACAATAAATTGGTCGAACTCTGCCAATAAATTCTCTACATGCTTTGAAACACAATGCGCCATTAGAAAACTGAATGAGCAACAGGTTTGTGTTCACGACTTGATAGAGAGAGTCAGGAGATGATTTCATTCTCTGTGTGAATTATTAATGAGGTGAACGGCAGGGAGAAGCTGCTCTGACCTTCTCGTGACCTTTAACTCAACATGTCACTAATATGTCAAGAAAAGTTCACACCGACTCGCAGAGAAGCTGGATTATACAACAACGAGGGCACAGAAGTATCATGACAAGATCTTTTTCAGAAGAATTGGTGGAGGAGTTTTACTTTGTGATCAGTGAGATTTCATACAAGGGATATTCAACATCTTGTCCTATATTCTAGATCACTCTCACCCATTGGATGGATTTGTAGGATCCAGATCATCTTTGTTGTCCGGCAGCTGTAACCTGAAACAGAGGAACAAAAAAAGCGAGGCTTTAGAGAAAAAGAGGAAGATCTCCGGGGATGAAAACCAGCTGCAAGGAGAGCTTTTGTTTGAGTAACACGACCGTGAGAGCCATAGAAACTCAGGCACTGACACTCCCAGGCAGTGATTACTGAGGATCTCCAGATAAGATCGGAAGAATTCTGGTGGTTTTGGTTTCAACATTTAAACTGTAACCCTGATTAAATTCTATCTGTTTCATATATTTACTTGCACATGTGCTCCTCCAGTGGTCTACAGTTACTTACCTGAAGTCTGTGATGATGGGATCCAGGTCTGGACTGTTTATGACTGACAACCTGAAAAGAAATAAAAGTCAGAGAGCGTAAAAAATAGTATGTTCGCAAACATTTCAAATATGTTATTATTGTCATGTTATTAAATCTGTTTTTGAGAAGGAGAGGGTTGCTGATTTCTCTGTGACCCTGCTGATTGTTCCCGACTGGAAAGAATGAATGTGTGTGTGTGTGTGTGTGTAATGTGAACATACTGGTTTAGGGAGTCAGGGCTGTCAGGGATGTCCTGTTCCTCCTGAGTATCCCTGTGAAGAGGTCAAAGGTCATTTTAGAGAGAATATATGAATGGATATCATGATGGTGAGAGGAGGCAGTAGTTTGGATACTTGAAGTCTGGTCTCAAAGAAGGACTCAAAGGCCCCGGTACAGATACTGCTACTACTACTACTACTACTACTACTACTACTACTTCACTGCTACTACCAGTATAGACAACGATAAAAATAACTGGAGGCTAAATTTTATATACAATAC